AATACAATATAAAGAATTTATCTCATATTTAGAATCAGTCCATTAAATAGTTCCTGTTATAGGAAGGCCTAGCAAAGAAAGTAAAAATCAACCTAAAGTAAATATTTTCCTCAATGGTTCCTGATCCTATGGTGAGATCTTGGAGTGACATCAATAGGCAGCACTACATTGTATTCAAGGGTAATGTGGCATATAAATACACATCTTTCATTTCCAGTTATTTAATGAAACATCCTGTGGCTGCTGATGACATTAAATAGAAAAATACAATACAATCAGATAATAACGGCATTGGATAAATTGACACCGCTACACTGCCCCTGCTCGGTTGTTTATTTTCTCTCACTTCAGTTTTACAATGGCAACCCAGCCTCTACCCTGTAAGAAACACAAATAAGGGCAACCTATGTGACTACATCCCATCTATATAAATAGACTCTCCCCTGAGTTCAGGTTGATCGCACACAAAAAGCTCTAACTTAATTAGCATTGTTGCAGCAAACATCACATGCCACTACAAGCACTATTTGACAAATGGTGGGCTCAGTTGAGACAACTGCTCTAAAACATGGATTGTTTTGAGCACAATAAAGCTTAATTAGATTTGTTTATTCCAATAATGAGAAGCCAAAATCTTTACACCCATACATTTTACGACCCAATTTCCTTCGGGGTCAACCTTCAAGATCAATAAAGTTTTATTGAATTGAATTGAAAGTGTATTTAGTAAAATCCTTAATAAGATGGCCAATCAGTATTATTAGTACATACTATGTACTAATATGCATTTATGCCAGAAATGTCTTTAGTGTCCACTACTTTGCGCTAACCAAAGAATTCATCTTATTTTTAAATACACTGACACTAAAGTCATAGTAAAGAAGATCTTAACAGTCTCCCATTTGTATTTGTTCATCTTTATATCAGCTGCAGATTGACTGCTGGGATGTGGTATGGAGCAGCGGTCCCCAACCCCCGGAGTCGTTTGGTACCGGGCCGCGAGAGTTGAGGCTCGGGTGTGAAATTTATGGTTTTCAGGGTTTTTGTCGTTTTTTGTTTAAATCATTTTTATCTTTAACTCAGTTTCCCTGGGTCTTTTCCCATGTGTTATGAATAAATCTTCTTTTCTTTGGTACTGGTTTTATTTTTTTGTATTTATCCGCAATACCTTAAAGGCCGGTCCATGAAAATATTGTCGGACATAAACCGGTCTGTGCCGCAAAAAAGGTTGGGGACCACTGGTATGGAGCACGTTCAGTTTATCAGTCCACAGTGCTGCTGTGACACAGACTACAATTTTGAATAAATGCATTGTCATTTCATCAAGTGCTACACATGAAAGTTCATAACTGACAGACTACCTCAAAACCAATTTAAGTCCTGGCTTTAAAGCGTTTCTAATGCCTAACATTTCAATATTTACAATATTTTGGATACATCTTTCTTTCTCACTCAACAACGTGAGTGCATTTTGTATTCAGCAGATAAATGACATAGTATGGCAAAGTTAAGCCAAACTTGTGGAGAAAACTTTCACCTTTTTGACTGTGACAAATTGGCTCAAGTCAGAATTGACATTTACTACGCTGCTACTTTTAATGATTCAAAAGACTGGAAATGATGTCTTAATTTTTCATACATATAAACACCACAAAACAAAACAAAATCTTAAAAGAAAGTCTTTTATAGAGCATGTCCTACTTCAGAGTCACATAATACAAACCATGACACACAGGGATAGATGCTCTCCACTATAAGCATGGAGTGCAAATTGTAGTCTGTCCTCAGAATTAAGACTTTATTTCTCCGCACATTTCAGGCAAAACGCAGGGCTGCACTAAACATGAAGCCCCATTACAGGAACAATTTGGATGTTTAAAGATTTGGATGTGTAAAGACCCTGGAGCTCTGGTAACCTCGAGTTTAATATTTCCCAGCTATACAGCAAATGGATAATTTAATGGTTCTTCCCCATTGCTTGAAAAGAAATCTCCCTCTCCTTTACACTCTTGCATGCCTTGTCTCATTCTCGCTATTTCTCTTTCACTTCTATTCTCCATCTTTGTGTCTTTTCTTTCCTGCATAATGTTGACCTTACTGTCACAGTGACCATTGTTCTCTCTTTTTGGACATAAATATGCCCAACAGACTTACATCACAGCACAAGTAGAAGCTGGTGACCTTTGCCAAAAGGACGTTTTATTTTAGTAATAATAGTCAGACAAGAAGAAAACAAAAATGTCTAAAAACCACAAAAACTAAAGCTCATGAATTTTATAGCTTGCAGACATCTGTACTTTGCTTCTAGTAAACAGCTGAAACTGAATTTAAAGTTATTTTCCAAACAAAAGCAAAAAAACCCTATGTACCCTTTTTACAATGCTAAATTATTCAGTATTTTTATTTGACAGCTTAAAGGCAGACGAGGCAGCTGCACACACAAGTATAAAGCAATTGTAACCACCTGCAGCAGACTCTTCCTACTTATCCATCACAAAAAGACTCCCCATCAACATTTTCTTAACCAGGGTCCAAGGCAAGCAATACCTATAAAACTAGTGAGAGCCAATAAAGAAATATTGCAGTGAATCATACTGAGGTGAAAATAGTATAAACTATGCAGATATTGTCTCCTTATTGAGAAAGCTGTTTCCTTAAATATTTATGTGACTACACCAGAAATGTACCATATCTCTATATTTAACAAAAGCAAACATTGAGGCCAGTAGCCAAGTACATGAGGTGACCTGCTGTCTGGATTTACTTTCACATCTATTCAGTGTATTTCAAAAAGACATCCCTCTTCCTCTCTGCCAGGCCTTTTTTCTGCACATTAAAAAATACTGAAAGAACACAAAAAACCCATTTTTTTTCTCTATATATCTTTCTTCGAAACGATATAGTATGGACAAGCTTGGCTTTGTTGATCATCATCCATTTTCAATGGGAAAACTGACAAAACAGCCAGAATCTGGTACTGTAGAACAGTTTAATAGGGTAGATCACTGAATGACTGAAGAAAGCCACAAAAAGATGGACAGGGGCTTTTGTACGGTGGTTTATAGAAGCGCTTTAACCCATAGACTGTATATAATATATTAACCCTTTCACGCATAGTGGTCACTACGGTGGACAGCTATTCAAAGGCTGTTTTCTTGTATTTGTGTCAGTGTTGACGTTATACTTGTACATAAACCTCTACACTTGTCACTGATGTGTCACTCCATACCCTGCCACCCACTGTGCGTTTAATGTTACTGCAGATGTGTGGTGTGTTTCATTGTAACTATTATTATTTAACCCTGTCATGCATGAATTATGACAACCTCAATCAGGGGTTTTTTTCTTAAGTATTTTTATTCATCAAAAATACTAAAGAAAAAATCCTGATTGAGGTTGTCATAATTCATGCATGGAAGGGTTAAAATCCAAGTTTAAAATTCCCTTATCATACCAGCATATTTAACAAATAATCTATTCAGGCACATCTTTAGTGGATGGTTAATAAAAACTTTGCTGCACCAGAGCCTGAAAAAACCCCAGAAGTCACTTCAGAGAAATTTTCAGTATGCAAAACCTACATCTGATGTTAAATGCAAATTACTTCCTATTGTGTGTAGCTGAGGTCGATATATTCAAATGGCGTGTACTCTTTGAAGACTAAAAAGAATATTTTCAGGTGCAATGTCAGTAAAGTTAAATTTCCTTTAACTATACTTGAAATCTAAATGCAAAGAAGACTGGGTGCATTTAATTTGCATTTGAGTTTATCCTTTTATGCAGGTATGTGATATTTTACCAATATGTACTCAACTGTAAGATGTGCTCAACAGATCACATTAAGTTAACATAAATATTACTCTATAACCCGACTCTCACACTGACTACTTACAACCCATCTCAAATATCCAACCCAACATCACAGCAAGCCTTGTAATACACACATCAGTCCACCGTTTCGACTTCACACTTTGCCTCTCCAAAACATGAAATAGCCACACATGCTGAAATTGCATTACTGCATGTAGAAATTTTATTACCAGCAATGGGAGATAATATATTAAAAGCCACAAAGTCAGTAGTGAGCAAAAAAGGTATGAAGTACCTTGGTGGCTAATATGTATTTAATAATGTCTGTTTAAACACTTTTCCATGATTATTTTCATGTTGGCTTGAAATAAAATATTTCCCTCTGCTGTTCCTGCAGATTATTGCAACTTACTGCAAATTCTGCATGGGTGTCTATTCTCGATTTGGAGAGGCAAAGCGCGAAATGGACACGGCTGACCGGCGTGTCTATTACACGTTTTTCCGTGAAACTGCATTGAAATATCAGCTGTGTATGAAGGCTGGTGGTGCGAGTCATTTGTACCTCAGTGGTACCCAATTACAGATAACAGCAGGGTTAGGTGAGTATCACATCTCAAGAGCTGTGACTCCTGCTGGGATTATCTAAAACCAGTAAACTTCACTTTCTGAATGTTATATTTCATGTTATATATCAAACTACAGTAAGGTCCGCAAGCATTTTAGCTCTGTACACTGTTAAAATTTACCTAAAATGAGTCATGGTGGTAGGCAATATCCAAATACCAAAAAACAAACAAACAAAATAACTGCCAGTGACAAAGGCACAAAAACAGGAAAAAAAGATCTGTGAGCACCTCATGGGAACAGGCAATCTACTCTTTTCCAGCTGAGGAACCAAGACCTTCATCCCAGCTGCTTCACACTATAACCCATCCCA